ACAAGGTCCCAAGAGTTCGACGCACAGACACACGTCCGGCCGTGGCAGGAGCACCCGCAACAGGACATCAATCCGCTGTGTATCCATGGTTGCCTCCCCCTCCTTCGCAAACACGACGGCCTACACCAGACTTGACTTCGACACCTGTTGGCGAGGCCGCTGCAACGGCCACTGAGGGTGCGGGAAACGTCCAGCTCGACGAGCCCGTCCAGGTTTCGGATTCGTCACCCACTCCTGTGCCCGTGAACGGCCCGACCTCGCAGCACGGTGTTTTTGGGACACTGGATCCTTTACAGAATCTGCGCAACATTGCAGCTCCGAGTCCAGGCCCCACCGCATCACCTGCGGCCGGGGGCTGGGTGTGGGATTCGCTAGGTATGGGTGTCGGTGCACGAGTGAGGGGCACTTACAGGCAGCAGGCGATGACCTCGTATTACAACGACCCGCTGGAGCACGCATGGCACCTGCAGATCATGCGATTCATTGTCGAGAGCGGCATGCCGTTCAACTGTGTGAAGCTTGAGAGCTTCAAACTCATGTTGACGTTGATCATCCCGCCTGGGGTTCCAGGAGTCCCCACCCCAAAACCCCCAACGTATCACATGATCCGTACCACACTTTTGGATGAGCTTGATGTGGAAGTCCAAAAGTGTGTGAAACCTGTCCTCGCTACTGCAGCTACCTACGGTTGCACGATAATGACAGACGGTTGGACCAACATTCGGGGCCAAACGTTGTGCAACTATCTCGTCAGCACTATACGGGGCGCCACATACGTCGCGACAGATGGTATGCGAGGAAAGAAGGATGCCACTGCTCTGGCGCAGGCTTGGCTGCGAAGGTTGAAGTCCCTTGACATCAAGCTCGCCGACATCACCGCTTTCGTCACAGACTCTGCCAGTTCGAACGTTTCTGCGATGGAGGTGTTCCAGAAGGATGAGAGTGTCAAGCACATCTTCTGGATTCCTTGTGTGGCACACGTCATGGACCTCATCCTTGAGGACATCGGCAGCATTGACTGGGTGGCGACCCGCATTGCTCAGGCGCGTTTGGTCACAAAGTTTTTCAAGCGTCATAGCCACGCTCGCGAAGTTTTGCAAGCTTTCACGACGAAGGCTCTGCTGCTTCCCGCCAAGACTCGCTTCGGTACGCATGTGATTATGATACGACGACTTCTTCTGCTGCAATCGCATCTTATGCAGGTGGTCGTTGATGATCGATGGAAGGACACTGTTTGGTCAACGAAGAAGATTCGAGACGACGCYGCGRAGGTCACAGCATGTGTCGGTTGTCCTCAATGGTGGGAGGATATGAGAGCGYTGTGCAAGTTGTTGGATCCCATCATGGACATGCTGCAGATGGTGGACAGCGACACGAGGCAGATTGGCAAGATTCTGCGTCGTTACGACGAGATGATTGCGCGTTGTTTGTCTGCATGTGCCGCTTTGGAGAAGGACGAGCAGGACGCGCTGCTTGAAGTGTTTGACAGACGCCGCGCCATGTTCAAGTCGCCTGCTCATGTTGCTGCCATGATGTTGGACCCCGAGTTTCGAGACCGCACGATGCCAGATGACGAGGAGATGCAGCACGGTTTGAAACTCGCTCTGATTCAGTTTGGGTACCCGGAACATTCGGATCAGCACACCGAGGTCCTCACTGCCATTGACAAGTTTCATTCTAGGGAGCCGTCGTTCGACGATGTGGCTATGGACCGGGCGGCGAGGAGCTATACCCATCCAGCATGTTTCTGGGAGTCGAAGGAGAAGAGGTTCTCGCACACGGCATTCTTCGCTGGCAGGATATTGCGTGTGTGGGCGACTGCGTCGCCTTGCGAGAGAGCTTGGTCCCGTTGGAGTTTCATCCACTCCAAATCTCGTAACAGATTGGAGGTGGCGCGGGCCGAGAAGCTCGTGCSATGCCATTGGAACCTTCRGCTCCTCGACAGGCAGGCTATGTTGGACGATGCTCCCAGTGACAGGCCACATCCGTATGGGAGCTGGGTGCACTACTGGCAGCAGGTGGAGGAGGAGGTGCCCACCGACCAGCAGCTTGTGGCAGACCGAGGAGCCCGTGTGACGGTCACGAAGCAGGAGTTGACACAGGCGAGAGAGAGGATGCGCGTCGTGTCCCGCATGGGAGCCACTCGTCGCTTGCGGGAGATTGACAGGAGGAGGTGTCGTGGCGGTGGTCACGGAGGTGGTCGTCGGGGCGGTCGTGGGCGAGGCGGGCGTGGAGGTCCTGGCGGGAGGCGTAGTGTAGCGAGTCATGGAAGGGCAGTGGACGAGCTAGTACGCAAGCCTCGACAGCGATGGGAAGAGGGAGACTTTTTGTACGAGAGCTCGTCCAGCGATGACGAGGATTTCTTTGGGAATGGCAGGCCTGCACAGGATGGCGACAGCGATTTCGACGACCGTCACCCGAACGTGGGTGACGACGATGGCGCCAGCGGCGATGATCACGGTGACGGAGGAGATAGGCCATGACCAGCATATGGTGACACGATGCGCGCCGACGGGGCAGGGGGCGAGCACCGCACAACAGTAGATCACGCTCGAGATGGAGTGCATGATGATGGTTCACGACCTGTCTCGGGCGGTGACCTGAGGCGCTTGAAACGCGGACCAGGGGAAAAAAACACTCGCTTCACGTGTGCGCAAACATCATGGTGGGGTTGCTAGCATTCCACTATCACGAGTCCCCGCAACTGGGCAGATTCCAGTTTCTGAGGACTCTTTAAGCGATCACGGCGGCGAGGAGCGGATCGAGCTGCATGGCGGGAGCGGTCATCCACGAGGTGACACTTCGAGTATGCACACGACAACTCTGATGGGGCCTTCCGCAGCAGTCCCWGAATCGCAACAGGGTCCAGCACCGTTGATGCGTCATCCCGAGGTTCAGGGAGAGACCAGTCCTCTCCCGGCAGTGCGGGACGAGGGTTCTGTCGGTGCACTGCATCCACTCACGTCTGCCGGAGCGGCAGTCTCAGTTGCAGCGACCTCGGATGTGGGACAACCATTGGCAGCGGCGGAGCAAGAAAGTATGCTCCCACCTCGCAGTGTTCAACCGCGGCCACCGCCTGCATTGATGGAGGGGAGTCAGGGGACCGTTGTTGTGTGTCAAGGCGACGATCTCCCGGAACGTGATATCTCACACACTCCCGCAGCCGAGCAGAGCGTCGCAGACCATGTCGGCCTCGCATGCCCCACCGACAGTCTTTCGGGTACCGGCGAGTTACTGACCATGGACTCTACGCTCGTTTTTCTACCGGACGTGTCGACGTTGATATCCCCAGGTCTACCCCATGTGTCACCGCCCAAGCCAAAACAGCCTGTTGTCATCGAGCGTGGATCGGACGGGTTTGACGTGGCAGGAGGCGATATCGCCGATATGATTACGAGCCCAATGGTGTCTGCCACGCCCACAATTTTTCGTGTTGGCAAACTACGCGAGGTGGYCCTTGGTTTGGCGGAGACGGCGACGCGACACCGCCGCGACGGTCAGCGCAGCATCGCACAACGCAGTCTTTCTCATTTGTTTGACGGCGCAGAGGAAGGGTCTCATGGTGGGCCAGTTGACACACTCGAAAGARAAGCAAGACCCCCAAGTCCGCCGTCAAACTTAGAGCATCATCCGATTGCCGCGGCTGTCGGCGCAGATGCGGGCGTCCCCGTCACAAACAGTGACGCAGACGCGACAGAACAGCTTGTGGTTGGGTCATCGGCGACAACACAACGCGACAGAGCCACTGTTTTGCCGACAGTGGCATTTTATGCCAGCGGGAAGAGTACTGGGGGGATGGATGAGCAGGGAGTCCGGAATGTTGGTAGGCCATCTGCACCGTCTATGGGGAAACGATCCATTGGGAGTGTGGATGGTGCTCGGCACACCGYCATGGCCGAGTTTGAGGACCGACACGGGAGTGCTTTGCCGACGAAGACGTCTGATGTCCATGCTACGAGAGCCGCAAAGGCGAGTCTTTCTCGGGCAAGGAAGAAGGCCTCGGCAAGGAAGGCGTCACGTTCATCCTCACATATGCGTTCCTGAGAGAGAGGATCGGGCGTTGTGCATCTCGAGGACGGAGAGATTGCACCTGACGGCGACGCATGGATGTTGGAGGGAGGGATGCAACGACGGCGAATATCGTCGGCAGGGAGGGCACAGGGAATGCAGTGGCAGGTCAGAAGAGACGCGGCAGTGTACTTATCGTCCACGATGACAGCACAGATGTCACCCCGGGAGAGACCACAGGCACTGATGACGCAGGGAACTCCGATTACGTACCCAAACCATGGGCGACAGATGGAGATGATGGAGGAGGGCGACGAGTGAGACCGAGGACACGACTCGGGCCGCAAGGGCAGCGAGCACAGGGCACACCATCGGCGATGATTCCTGCCCCCATAGATCGGCGAGCTCAGGC